TCAAATTTGTTGCTCATCAGGAGTACTCAAATATACCTTGAGTATCAGCAACAAAATAGTTGAAACCGATCGGCCGATTTTTATTTTTTTTTCATTTTCCTCGTTCTTGCCATCTTGAAACTGATTCTCCTGGGAAGAAAAAGTGTTTTAAATTTGTTGCTCATCAGGAGGGTACTCAAATACACTCCGAGAATCAGCAAGAAAATAGTTGGTCTTGATCGGCTGATTTTTAATATTTTTTTAAATTCTCCCTGTTTCTGGAATACAGTGTTTTTTGAATTTGTTGCTTACCAGGAGTATACTCAAATACACCTTGGGTATCAGCAACAAAATGGTTGAAACCGATCGGCCGATTTTCAATATTGTTGTCTCTGTGTTTCAATATTCAAATGCATCCAAATCTTATTCCAAGGACGCCACATTTTGAACAGATAACTAAAATTTTGAGTAATTATAACTGCACCAATATCGAATTATAAACCTCAAATCGCGATCAATTCCTGAACTGAACATTGACGACACAACGGCGATACTAATCCCCACTTTCTATTCGTTACCGTAACATGACTTCAAATTTAATCTTATGACCCATCAGCCAATCATAAAACTCGGTTAGTGAAAATTATCCAATACGAACCGCTAATTCTTCAGTCCACGTGGACTAGTTCGCAGCGGCATTATTTCTCTGTATTGGTTTTTTTGGCCTTTGAGATGCCGATAGCTTTAAGTATTGACAATAAAGGTTACTTCGACTATACCTATTGGGCTGTTCGGTGATAACTTCAATTAGTGTAAAAAAGTGTAAAAATTGTTTAAATTATTCAAGACAGAATTTGAATGATTGTAATTTATGGAGAAGTTGCAAAGTGCACACAAAAAGGGCGACATATCTTTTTAACAAAAGACATTCAAATTGTAATGTAAATCACCGGTATGTGCTTGATTTGGTGAAGTTGTACGAGATATTTTATACAGTTGAGAAAATTATGAAATATTTGATAAAAAATAAATTTATGATGCACTGTTTGGAACCTTTGGTGTAGTAATGAATATTACTGGAGTTTTTTCCAACACCAAATCATTATTTTTAACACCTCGACACGTGTTTTGATCACCAAGTGATCGTCTTCAAAGAAGAAGATTAAAACTAAGAACTAGTGCGACCTAATCCTATTTATGCTATAAAGGTAACCCATACAGGTAAACCACCCAGGCTTACCAACCATACCTGGTATACCAACTTAATTAATTTTACAATTTTTCCTTATCTATTATTTTACAATTTATGTTCAACTGTTATATGTTTATACAAAACAATTTTCAGCTATATAAAAATTAATTTCACAATATTGCCTATCCAAATTTATTTTTGCAATGTGTCCTTATGTAGTAATCAGTAAACCCAACAACATTATTTTATTTTAAGAAGCTATATAGTATGCTCTTTGGTATAGGTCCGTCATCGTTATTCATAATATTATTATGTTCACTTATTTCTACACTCTCATAGGCATCTAGTTGCCTGTTGTTGTCAACTTGTCTAACTGAACTTAATGAACTGAAGTCCATGGAATGGTTTTGTTGTATTTTTATTTGCAATTTTGCTGGATTCGCCTGATAGGGCTAAAATTCAATTTAATCGAGAAGCAAAAAGAAAGTGAACTTTCACATCCAGAGATTATTGTGTGAAAGCTATTTTTAGGAAATCTTAAAGTTAACAGAGCTGTGATCAGAAACCCACAACCACCCAAACTCATCAAATTACATGAAATTAATTTTCCAATTAGCTTGTGGTGTCGGTTGTAACGGATTCATCCATAAAAATCTCACAAATGTATACAATCAATTTAAACTCACACTAATTCCAGACGCGATTTGTTACAAACAACACATATGAATACACGACTCTTTCTGATAAGTTAAATTTATAGTGTCCAAATTTTATTTTCCAGTATTCCGTCAAACAATTGACTTGGTTGAGCGTCTCTCAGACAGAAACAGACAATCCTGTAGTAAAACAGGAAATTCTCTAGAATTCTCTGGTATCTTAGTAAATCTATTCACTTACTATTTGCCTGTTTAAAAATTATTTTCAATGTATTAAAAAGTTTTTTTCATGCACTACCTTTACTGCATAATGCATGATAATGAGAAACCCATTGAGTCCTTCGCTATCTGAAATGTTTTATGAATAACCTTGGATATGAAATTCGTAATAATCAGTTGATTAACAATTTCTTATACTGGTACAGATACGTAGATGATATCTTAGTCTGTTTTACTGATACAAAGTTGACATTTGGGCACTTCCATTCACCCGTCAATTGAATTCACCACTTAACTGTAGGTGAATAATTCAATACATTTTCTAGGTTCTATACTAAAACATTAATGAAAAACATGATTTTACAATTTTCCACAAACCACAAACGGACGTTATCATCACGTCCGTCCACTACCACGGCCACCACGGAAATTTATTACATGTCCATTTTATGAGTTAGTTTGTACTTAAACACAGGTAAAATTATTAGTCGTTGAGTAGATAGGTCAGATGATTCTTATTGTTATATAAACAACTAATTATATAGAATTTTGTTAGTATGAAGCTATTGTAGGGCAAAACAAGTGTTGCTGTATTGTAAATTTTTCAGTGAAAATCTCACAATACAATTTCATTTAAATATGTTATGATTTTTTATCAAATATCGGCCATCAGGATTTGCTAGTTCCTCAGAATCACCACCATTCTTGAAAACATTATGAAAGTTTGTAAAATAAAGTAAACTGTTGTTGTTGATGTGTCATGTTGTTCTAGTTTTTTCGTAAATGAAAAAATTAACCAACGTTTTGTAATATAACCTAACTTTTAGGCTAGATAACAAATACCTTCATAAAAACATTAAAGTAGGACATTCTCACTTCATATATTTTTGATTTTCTTTGAAAAAATAACTGCACTATAAATAACCCACTATATGACGATTGGAAGACATCCACTAATTGTCCACTCCAGGTCAGTTTCATATGCAACAACAATGGATCTATCATGGATTTTCTCCGAAGTCATTTTGAAACAATAAAAAAATATCCATAATTAAGGACTTTATGGACGGACATGTTTATGTTGCCAAATAATAGACCCTTTAAGGAAATCCATGAAATGACCTAATTTCCAAAATGGGACCTCTTATGGATGTCCAGTTGATATCCTGTGTTCACTGGGAAATATTTTATGAAAATCATGTTTCTACAAACCAATCACTTGAATTGAAAACCATAAAAATATATCGATTTCTAGCTGAACAAATCTTTTTGAATTATTAACCACTAAAAATAGGTGAATTGTCAATTAGAAATCAAATTTTGAAACATTCGCATCTTCCAACTTTCCTACTCAGTAGGATCAGGTAATTAACTTGCACTTGCACTGACAAGGGGAAACACCCTAAAACTCAGTCATATATCTTTATCATGAAAATAGTGACTGATATCAACTAGCTGATTTATTTACTATTTCTGCACATCATATTTCAGCTTTTGTTCAAAGGTGATTGGCAATGTTTCATGATGAATTTTATTATTTCGAACTTCCATTGTCTGATATTATATAAAATGATTTGAAATCTTTGAAAGAACTAAAGAAGACTTAAAAATGAATTGCTGAAAAAACAATTAAATTAAGCAAAACAACCTGAAATGAAATGATAGTGAAATAAAATACAAGTAAAAATAGAACAATTGAACAAAAAATAAAATGTGAAGAGATTTCAAGCCAAGTTACTTTGCGACGTTTCGATTGTGGATACTAACGAAGACGACAATTCGAACTTTCATTGTCTGATATTATATAAAATGATTTGAAATCCTTGAAAGAACTAAAGAAGACTTAAAAATTAATAGCTGAAAAAAACAATTGAATTAAACAAAAAAACCTGAAATGAAATGATAGTGAAATAAAATACAAGTAAAAGTAGAATAATTGAACAAAAAATAAAATGTGAAGAGATTTCAAGCCAAGTTACTTTACGACGTTTCGATTGTGGATACTAACGAAGACGACTGTGGATACTAACAATCGAAAAGTAGTGAAGTAACTTGGCAAATCTCTTGACATTTTATTTTTATTTTTTGTTCAATTCTTCTATTTTTACTTGTATTTTATTTCACTATTATTTAATTTAAGGTTTTTTGCTTAATATATTTGTTTTTTTCAGCTATTCATTTTTAAGTCTTCTTGAGTTCTTTCAGGAATTTCAAATCAATTTATATAATATCAGACAATGGAAGTCCGAACTAATACAATATTTTAGCTTACTTAGTCAATAATTATTATGTTCAATAATATACTTGTACCGGTCTAACCAGTCTAATGAATTTTCAGGTTTTATATTGAAAAATGATAAGAGGCTTATTGTAACTTCTCATCGTCATTTTAAACAGGCTTTATCTAATCAAAATAAAAATTTCAGTGATTATGCTGAATTTACTTCTCTTTTCAATTAGTGAATTTGCATTTCATTCTACTTTCAACTAAGCAATTTGAAAATCCGTTGAACCTCTGATCATATAGGATCATAATGATCTTCTGTTGACGCTAACTTGGTTAGCAAAACAGGCGTTGAGAGACAGTAATTTTGTTCTGGCGTTGGAAAAGTGTTTTCAATACAATGAATAGTCCTACATAAAAACAGCTCTCACAAATTGCCATTGCCGCACTTGAATTTGAATAGACAATATCCCATTAAAAATGACACCGGACCATTATGAAGTCCTTATACATATTCATTAGCCTTATTGATCCCAATCGCGGATAGTTCTCCTGATCGATTACTTCTCGGGATATACTAATTCGCTATAATCAACTTAATCATCAATTACAAGCTTCTCTCGTGACACTAAGAACTGGTGGATGCTATCGAGGTATGCGCCCTTTTTCGAGGGCGGCGCTACGATAGGAACAGATACAGACTAACAAACTGCCAGTTGTACGACGATCGTCGAGTTGTGTGTACAGTCTCTCTTCTCGGAAGCACCGCGATCTCTGAATCGGCTTTCGACTCGCATACGTGGTATTTACATATCGTGAATGATGACCTCTCATTGAAGCGAGCCATGATCGTACTACCGAAAGTTATGTCGTTGTTGTTATTGTTCCTGTGCACAACGTCGGTGTTGTCGGTGAGTGAAAACTTTCTGAAGATGTTTGAAGGCCAGACTCCTGCTGACCCGTGCTACGACGAAGACCGGCCAAGACGATGCATTCCTGACTTCGTGAATGCGGCCTACTTAGTGCCGGTTAAGGCGTCCTCCACCTGCGGTCTGCACTCGCCTGTGCACTACTGTGAGGTACCCGAGCCTGCTGCCAACCCCCAATGCCATTTATGTGACGAAAGGCAGGTCAAGAACAGATATCCCTCCTCGTACCTCACTGACTTGAATAACCCCAATAATGTTACTTGTTGGCGGTCGGAACCCATTCCTCCCGTTACTTCTATAAATGCTCCTCCTGACAACGTAACACTGACTCTGAGCCTGGGAAAAAAGTATGAGTTAACTTACGTAAGCCTACAATTCTGCCCAATGACTCCAAAACCCGACTCCATAGCTATTTTCAAGAGCATGGACTATGGTAAAACTTGGCAGCCCTTTCAGTTCTATTCCAGTCAGTGCAGACGTGTGTATGGAAGGCCAAATAGAGCCACAATCACCAAAATTAACGAGCAAGAAGCGAGATGTACCGATGCTCATCGGTATACTGGAGGAGACATGTTGGGTTTCGGGCAAACCTCAAGAATAGCTTTCAGCACGCTGGAAGGGAGACCAAGCGCTTCGGATGTCGATAACAGTCCAGTTTTGCAAGACTGGGTAACTGCCACAGATATTAGGGTGGTCTTTAACCGGCTACATATGCCCGTGGAAGACCTTTCCGATAATTTGGACGTGCTCGTGGATGAGAGAATGTTGAATAAGCATCAAGAGCACCAAGACGATAACTTGCTCGAAAAAGAGCCGTCTGTACAGTTGGTGAACGAAATGCAGGTTGTGGAGAGTGATGAACAGAATATACCTAAGGCCGTGGTACCGCCTGTGTCCGCTAGCGGGATTGTGGGAGGGTACCACCAGATAACCCACCAGTATGCTGTGGCGGACTTCGCTGTTGGGGGACGTTGTAAGTGCAATGGGCATGCCAGTCGATGCGTTACTGGGCGGGATGGACAATTGGCTTGCGAATGTAGACACAACACTGCTGGAAGGGACTGTGAACGCTGCAAGCCGTTCCATTTTGATAGGCCATGGAGCCGAGCTACTGCTAGAGATGCGAACGAATGTAAAGGTAAGATAGGTAGTACTTTCTTGAACTCGATGTTTTGTATATCGTGATATGTTACATTACGTGAAGCATCGTTCCAAGAAAAGTAATTACTAGAATATAATGTGGCACGATTATCACTACGACATTATCAATAATCTCTTCGATTGTAGGTACCCCTACAATTGATTACATTTCTAAACGAAATTATGAAGGGGCGAATCAAAGTTATTTTTTATTTAAAAGATTACTTTTGACCCCATAAGTAGTGACACCATGGGTACAATTCCTATTGCCAACCTGTTTTTTTAGTTTATCGACAGTTACGAGAATATGTGCATTCATCTAATGTTTGCTACTGGTGTAACTACGCATTTTCAGTATCTTTTCGAAATAATATCAACATCAAGGTCAATATGCTTTCTTCTTTTCTGAAATTCTGATAAATTTGGTCGGCAATCAGAACTGTGATGGATTGAATGTTTATTCGTTCACATAAGGACATGTAAAAACATGGTTCAGTATTCAGTGGTGAGACTAACTAGTTTCATAGATAAATTTGCAGTCTGTCTAGAAATAGATTAATTTTTTATTGGGATTCGTTGTTTTTCTTTGAGAAAAATATATTTTTTTCATAAGAAAGACCGGTAATTTTTATTTACATTGTGAATATTAAAGAAAAAATTGATAGAAATACACCTGTGTGAAGAGAGGAGACTGAGTTAGCAGAGTATATCTCCGGAAACGCCCTGATCAGTGCTCAAAGAATATAATGTTAATTCACAAATCTGTGAAATGTAGAATGCGAATTTTACATTTGTATTACAATAAACCTATTCGATATAATCAATGAAATTAGTATTTCCAAGACAAAGAAAATTTTCACATCACCAACATTTCAAGAAATGCAAAAAAATTCCAAGTTTTGATACGATTCGAAACGAAAAATTATGACTGTCAAGAGGACTAGGGGTGTTGATTTCAACTCTTTCAACTTTCATTTATTTTTCTATATGAAAACATTTTCTAGTATCACCAAATTTTCACAAAATATCACCAACTGCATCTAGTTTGTTTTCCATTGTAAAATTTCAACTGACCGAGAGAACTTGGGGTGAAAGTTCCCATTCCTATAATTTAAATCAATGCTTTTAAATATAAATATTACTGGAGCTTTTTCCCAACACTAAATCGTTATTTTTAACACCTCGACACGTGTTTCGATCACCAAGTGATCATCTTCAAAGAGGAAGATTAAAACTAGAAACTAATGCGAGCTAACCCTATTTATGCTATAAAGGTAACCCATACAGGTAAACCATCCAGGNGAGCATACTATATAGCTTGTTAAAATAAAATAAAATAATGTTGTTGGGTTTACTGATTACTACATAAGGACACATTGCAAAAATAAATTTGGATAGGCAATATTGTGAAATAAATTTTTATATAGTTGAAAGTTGTTTTATATAAACATATATTGTAAAATAATACTTAGATAAGGCAAAATTGTAAAATTAAGTTAGGTTGGTATACCTGCATGGTTGGTACGCATGGATGGTTTACCTGTATGGGTTACCTTTATAGCATAAATAGGGTTAGCTCGCATCAGTTTCTAGTTTTAATCTTCCTCTTTGAAGATGATCACTTGGTGATCGAAACACGTGTCAAGGTGTTAAAAATAACGATTTGGTGTTGGGAAAAACTCCAGTAATATTCATTACTATAACAAAGGTTCCAAACAGTGCATCATAAGTACAATGCTTTTAATGCTCTAGCATCACTAAATTCTCATAAAATATTCTTTGATAACTCTTGTATGATTTAATATGAAAAATTATGACTTCCCAAGGAAACTAGGCGTTGTCGGTTTCAACCCGCTTATTAAACATGTATTTTTCTTCACGAAAAAAATGTTCTATCATCACTAACTTTTTACAGAATAACCATACTCAACCCAATATAGTTCATTTTTCATCGAGCAATTTCGATTGCTCGTGACAATTCTCATCCCCACTATTCAAAATTGATATCTCCAGTGAAACAATGTTTCCGGCATCACTAATTCCACAGAATATTCTTTGGTAATTCTTGAACATGTAATGGGATCGGCCGATACTTAATGGAAATCCATGAAGAAACACTTTATTGTGGTATATTCACCACAGTTTAACAAAAACGCAACACATATTTCGCTATACAATAGCTTCTTCAGGTGTGTCTTTACTTTACTATCAGAGAGTAAAGAAACGCCTGAATAAACTAGATGTTTTGTTGTGGCTAATGCTACCCGAACATATTCCACTATATATGTTTAGGATTTGAAAAAAAAACGATGTTCTTCATATGCAATATCCAGGATATATTTGAATATTTACAATGCCCCCACACATCTTTTGTTGAGTTAATTGATTAGAGAATCATTTCAGTCATCTCTTTCCACAACTTTCAGTAATGCAAAAGTTGCAGAAATTATAGAAGAGCAATGTTCAACAATCAAATTTCTTCAAATTGTGATATTTCCAATTTCTTTTGACAAAAGTCAAAAGAAATCAGAAATATCACAGTTTGAGACGAAATTTTCATAGAGGAGCATCCTAGCCAAAATCAACAACGAAGACACGTTTGCAGTGGTACTTGTTGAAATTTATTCAATTGAGAATAACCACCTGTCTACATGTATGTTCCAATGTTGTTGCATCTCATCAGAACCGGCTGGCTTGGACAAGCATTCTAATTCTTTTCCTTGAAACTCTCCGACACGCTTTCCGAACTTTGTTCGATTTATAAGTTTTATATCATTTATACAATATGCAAAAATATTGCATTTTCATTCCGTTCTGAGTTATGTTTGAAGTTGAAAGTCGCTTGAGCTCATATACTAATTTTCAATTCGGTTGCAAAATTTGAACCGAATAAACATGGAGCGAATAAAAACGTGGAACGATTTGAATGAAAAATTAAAAATGTTTCATAACATAACATCGGGCATCACAATAGAGGATACTATCGTATAGCAAAACACGTGTCGCGGTTTCTTGAACTCCCAAGTGGAAATATCCCATTAAAGTGTGTCACAATACTGTATTGTAACTCCCCTAAGTATGCTTTCGTAAAGCGAAACACGTGTCGCCTTTTTGTGGTTTCTTCGCCATTATATGGCGTTTATGTAAAACTCACAATAAAGTGTTTTTTAATAATAATAATAAATGGGCTTCATCCATTGACATACATTGTTTATTAAGAAGAAGTAGATACAAAAATCAATGAAAGGGCGAAGTTCAGCCGAGGCTGTTTTACAACTGAACCTAGGGGATAGCATATATTAAATAGAAATATAAAAATAATTACCTTGTATACATTGATAAGTGAGTAGATTGAATCATTGTGAAACTAAGAAAAAAACAAAGGCTATAAATTTCAAAGTAAATATTGAAAATCTATTTAGCTTAAATAAGGTAAAATATATAGCAAAATATACACAAAAGTGAGACAAAGGAAAAACCATATGAGCAAGGCATAACATAAATATATTATATATAAAGAAGACTTCAGATATGTTTTCAACTTGTTCTTGAATACGTTAGTTATGGATTTTCATCAAGTATCGGCCAATTCCATCATATGGCCCAGATTGAGTTCTAAAATAAGTAAAAGAACACTTTGAGAAATCTGAAAACAAGTGGGTTTCCAGTGGAAAAAATACAGCAGAAAATGTATTTTATTAAAACGCAATGATATTTATTGTCTCTTGGAGGAGACCATATTATGGAGTATCTGAAAATCCCGGAAATGAAAGAATATATTATTTGGATGAAACTTGGTTAAATGACGTACCTACACACGTCATGCTGACGAAATCAAAATATCCCATTAGCGGCAGGCAATTAGGAGGAGAATGACGTCACCTTATAATTACGCATATGGAGAGTTCCGAATAATTTGTCGAAGTTAGCTTCGAAGACATTACTGCCGGTGTCTTTGAAGAGTGTTTCTCGTAAATGGAAGATTTGATTTCAAGAGACTCTGTCACTGTAAGCAAGCCACTATTCTTAGTTACTGGACAAACTGCCAAAAGTGGTTGACGCAAAAATGACATATCATATCATAATGGTTGCATTCAAAAAACATAAATATTCCAGATCATTTCGAGTACAATTCAGTATAACGGAAACTCTTAAATTTAGACAGCTTACATAAGTTTGAAAAAATTGTGATCGATCACCTTACAGCATCGCGGGGTATAATAGAAGAGCAACTTATCCCTTATCAATGTGAATTAACTCCGATAGAGCTATAAATTTAGGGGATATCACAAAAAAAACCTTAAAATTGTTCAAATTGTTTGAAAATGACACTAAAGATCACCGAGAAAAATATGTTCATCATGTGGTTAAGGAAGAACAATTCACATGTTAAGTACATACATTAAGTAAAAATATTTTATGTATATACCATATTTTATGTTTCAAAATGAATTTTCAATATACATTGATGTATATTGTATCTAGGTATATTGAGAAATATATATTTTCAACTGGTTTTAACCAGTTAAATGACAGAGAGCTTGCCCGCTTGTGACAGAACAATTGCCGCAATTTTTTGACTGTAACAATAGGCAGTCAATATAGAATTAACCCACCTACATCGACACAAAAATACCCTTTCTCAATAGGATATGAGCAGGAATAAAGAGAATTTTCGCGAAGCATTCTATAAGGGTTTTCCATACACAATGAGCTTTTATTACTGCATCGGTTTTGAACAGGAACTCTAAACATGAAATTTATTTGTGAGAATGTATAAAATATGTCACAAAGTGATATAAACTGTTTTTGTCATAAAAGTATTCACTCAAACATTATATCAGTAGCTACTCTCTCTGGCGCGAACGCTAAGTAATGAACTTAGCATACATTTTTGATACCTTGGATAACATTATTGCGATTTAACATATTTATTTTTGAAATTACTCCCTGATAATGTAGCATTTTTACTGGTGAATGAGTTTTTGAAATCAAATGAGTGGTTTTTGGTTCATCTATTATTGAAGTTATAAGTATATGTTATA